CCCCAAAACCCCAAAACCCCAAAACCCCAAAACCCCAAAACCCCAAGATTATAATAAAATATTGATTTCTTGGAATACTATCATACATTATGGAAGAGTCAAAAATGGATAAGCATTATAATCGGACTGATCTCATTTCACGCTATAATACAATACAACAAGACAGTGATGTAGAAACACTCGAGCTTTTAACTGGGTAATTTAAGATTGATTAATTTATAGAAAATATAAAACTTTTGGAAACAAAAGTATTTCGAGGCCTGAATTTCCTGCTCTACCTCCAATTAATTTGAATAGAGTTGTTCTACCAATGGATTAAGAGACTCAATCGAACTTTCTATTAGTCCTAATCGTCAAACTCCTAAAGTCCAGTAAGGATATAAACATGATTAATATATCAAAGCTACAATATTGCTAATTTCTTTGAAAAATTTTTGAACTTTGTAATATAGAGAGCTTGGGTCTTTCACTGAAAATAAAATTGTGCCGAGAGCAAAAGTCATTCATATTGGAGGAAACTCGAAGAGGATTGATATTTCCAGTGTATGACTTCTTGTAGAAAATATAGGTTCATAATTTGACATCTAGCAATAGTGCACACTACATAAATCCTCGAGAGAAAATAGGAAGTGATCCAGTAATAGAAAGAATTATCAGAGTTCCTGATCATATTGCATTAGCTGACAAACCAAGAATTTTGGTATTTTACCAGTTTATTTTTAGAGAGATCTTAATAATTCAAGGAAACGAAGAAGAAGATTGATTATTAATAAACTAACTGACACAGAAGAGTCTTCTTCAAGCACAAATACAACTCTAGTTCAAGGTTTCGGGATGCGACCAGTGAAAAAGCCAGCTTTAATTTATACTGATGGATATAACGTTAAAACTCTTTCTAATACACCACAAAGCACTTTATTAAAAAGTAAAGCTTTATCTAAAATGTAGAAAAACCTCAAATATTCATCAACAAATAAAACGAAACATCAAGAAATTCAGGAAGAGAAAAGTTTGACTGAAGAGGATCTCAAAAGGCTAGCTTTTATAGAGAGGAAAAAGAATGAAAGAGTCAAAAATAAAACAATACTTCAGCTAGGATACAAAGCCAGTGCATCTGAAGTTGAGAGCATACCATCACTAGAGATCCTTCCAAAGGAGTATCATATTATTTAAGAGTTTAGAGAATCCAAATTAAATGACAAGATCACTAAAGTAGTCCTACCTAAGAAGAACAACCCTTTCAATTATAAAGGTATGAATTTTGGATAATTCATAGAGAAAAATAAACTAAAGAAGCAGAAGAATTTGTTGAATGAGAGAATATCTTCAAATCCAAGCATATCAGGTATTTAATGGATAACTTTAAAGACTCAATAAAGCGAATACAGCCTCGAGTGAATCAAGGCCCACCTGCTAAGGAGATTCCTAAGCCACCCAAGTCAAAGATAAAGTAGGCTATCTGTTATCTTTAGAGAGCCTGTTAAAGAAAGAAAGCCATTGTATGACATTGATGAGCTTATGAAACAGAAGAATAATTATAAGACTTTTGATAGACTTGCAATGTATTTCTATTCTTAACTCGTAGTCAAAATATACAGGAAAGGCAAGATAAAGAAAAGTCAGAGAGCATGATTGATAGACGGCTTGACGATTTCAAAGCACATCTTAAAGCAAGGAAAGAAAAATTAGCAGAAAACAGGAGGATGCAAGAAGAACAAATGAGGAAGACTATTGAATTAAGCTCAATCTCTAATATAAATAAGACAAAAGAAGAGCCAGCTGTTATCAAAATCCAAGATGAAGAGCAATCAATCAGTAGAGTGGAGTATCGATATAACAGCGGGAATGACTCTGAAACAAAGATTGTACGAGCTAAGAGGAAATATAAAAAGCGAAGAAAAAGACCTAAAAATATGCATGCTATTCGAAGAAAGCTAAATAAATTTAAAAGTAAGCTACCTTCATAAATTTAGGTTTCAACGAGCTGGATGAAGATCATAAATTTTCAAGTGAGATTATGGCAGACAGCGAACCTCAAATCATGATTCAGGATGATTCGTCAAATATTGCTCTTCAAGAAGTAGAGGAAAGCTCTCTGGAAATCGAAGAGAGAAGTATTTCACCAGAGAGAGAAGTTGAATTTAAATCTGTGATAAATTCTTTATCAAAACTACCTCCAAGAAGTAGCGCTCCAGTCAAGAAAAGAGTCAAAGATTTGAATCTACTGATCTATAAACCTCATGAAATTCCCAGGATTAGAGTTGATAGAAATAGCTATGCTCTTGATAAAGAATATAATAATAGAGTTAAGAGAGAGCAGTTTAATGAACTTGTGGAAAAAGATTTAGGCACTCGGTATAGTAGGTGTATATTTTTACTATTTTATAGATAGCCTTGGTAGCAGTATTGAGCTCAATCTTAGTAAATCAAGAGGGATGTTCTCTCAACCTTATTACGAGCCAGGGATCCAAACTGTGATGTCCCAAGAAGATCTTATAGATTTAAAATTTCAAGAACTTCTAAGAAAGAAACCTCAACATATTTTCTACTAACACCCTAAACGAACCACAATCTAACATCCTAAATACTCTCCATGTCAAAAATACTTTAAAAACTCATTCCCTTTCCCCAAAACCAGCACCCCATTAACCTTCCTTCCCAACCCCAAAATCCCTCTTCAATCAACTCCACCCAATTCTGCACCCCTTCCAACCCCAAAATTTCTCTAAGCCCTTATCTCCTCCAAACCCACAGTGTTTCCATTTTTGGCTAATTTCTGAGTGCCCTCCCCCATTTCAGGGGTTTTGGGGTTTTGGGGTTTTGGGGTTTTGGGGTTTTGGGG